AAAGTAATTAACTTTATTTTTTAATACAAGAAAACTATTTCATTTGAAAACTGGGAAATGCTAACAATTTAGGTAGAGAGCAGTAATTATTTTACTGTCCCAAGACAATAGCTAGAGAGTACTGGGAAGAAACGAGCTAATCACATTGGAGAGGTACAAAAATGTAGACACTTAGCTCTGGTTCTGTCTGGTAGTCTTGCCTTCATTCGTCCAGAAAAGATGAATGAATTAGCTTTTCTGGATTGCTGAGGGGTTGATGTCTACATGGGCAGATAATACTTCAGAGGTTTTCAACAACAGTGAGGACTGTAGGACTTGGTAATACTACTGCTATCTGGTGTACTTTCTTCAAGGACATTAATTTGTGACTTGCCTAAAATCCTATGGAAGAGAAAACTGACTCTTAGGGAGGTTGTTTATGACTTTACCTCAAGTCATAAAATAAAGTAGATACCAACTGATGCCTAATCCAGTGAGTCATTTCCACTTCACCGTGATGCTGATGCTTGTAATACGGACATCTATCTCTACATCAGTAATCCATTCCTGAAAATTGGATATTTTACATAGGAACACCAGGCAGGAGACTATTTCCTGCACTTTTAAATGGTAAAAATTAAGATGTATAAATCTAAAACTCCGTACCAGTTTCCCAAATATTAGTAAAACTCAGCAAAATATCCCTTTATAACTAACAAATGTACACCACTAATAGCTCTCCAGTTAACAGAGTTGGTAAGAAATTATTGCTTTGTATGCAGTAGTACATGGCCTGAATACTCTGCATACTCTTTAAAATGTCCACATGGAATTCTAATTCAATGTCAGGAATGTAGTTTTTCCTTTTTCCTGCACATCATTTTGTTTAAACTGTTGTATTGAGTTTGGGGTGTGTATGTATTAGCGTTACCTATATAAGCAACCAATGGAAAACGTTGTGTGATGTTTGGATATTAAGAACCAGAAATCTTGGGGTGCCTGGGTGGCTCAGTAGGTTAAGCATCCGACTTGGTTTCGGCTCAGGTCAGGATTTTGGGCTTGTGAGATTGAGCCCCTCCCTCATGGGCCTTCGAGCTCAGCAGAGAGTCTGCTTGGGATTCTCTCCCTCAGTCTCTGCCTCTGCTCCTCCCCTGTGTACACACGTTCTCTCTCTCAAATAAATAAATCTTTTAAAAAGTAAATAAATAATAACCAGAAGTCTTCCAGAAGCAAATGTTAATGAGAGGGATGGTCTGCAGAGTCTGCCGGTAATTAACCTGGCTCTAAGCAGAGGCAGTGGAAGCGAAAGCCAGTGAAAGATGCAATCGCTCCATTCTGTATTTTAGGTTACTACAGGTGTGTAGTTAAGAAAATCAAGGTTTCGGGGCGCCTGGGTGGCTCAGTCGTTGGGCGTCTGCCTTCGGCTCAGGTCATGATCTCAGGATCCTGGGATTGGGCCCCGCATCGGGCTCCCTGCTCAGCGGGAGGCCTGCTTCTCCCTCTCCCACTCCCCCTGCTCGTGTTCCCTCTCTCGCTGTGTCTCTCTCTCTCAAATAAATAAATAAAATCTTTAAAAAGAAAGAAAGAAAGAAAGAAAATCAAGGTTTCTCTGGCAACATCTTATAATTCAGTAGGATAGCCGGCCAAGCCCAGCAGGTGCTAGCACAGAGTTGCTGGGAAAACTAACAGGAAACATGGACCGACCCACACAAACTGTGAGGTGCTGAGGGTATTTCAGGGAATTGGCTCAATTTAAGGGCTTGGACCTGTAGCAGAAGGTGCCACTCTGCCATTATGTATCTGTGAGGGCTCGGCAGAGTTTGGGTTGGTTGCACAGATGTGTGTAGCGAGACTAGGAGGTGGCTGGTCTGAATGTTTGTTCTTCCCCCTTCAGGGGGAGGAGAGTTGAGGGAGAGTTGGCTTAAAATTATAACTTGGAGATTACGACGGGGAATCGCACTTGGTTGAGCACTCAGGTATGGGAAGCAGCCTGCATAGTCCATCCAGTTCAGAAATTCTCAACCTTTTGGAAATACATGGAGGAAATTTTGTTTGTAGCTGTTAATAGTCACTGATTTCTATTTAGGAGTATTTCATGGTGTTGTCTAGTATAGTTTGGCTTGAACATTTACATGTTGAAAAATACATACTGTTTATGATAAATTACTTTCACTTTATTTTTCCTTTATTTTGCCATTAGAGAACTTCTTGATTTTTTTTTTTTGGAATTTATATGTGTAGTTATATTATTAAGTTTTATTTCAGGTAGTAAAAGAGTTACAAAATAATTGTTTAAAAAGGGTATATGTTGGGGGCGCCTGGGTGGCTCAGTTGGTTAAGCATCTGCCTTCAGCTCAGGTCGTGATCCCAGGGTCCTGGGATCGAGTCCCGCATTGGGACTCCTTGCTCAGCGGGGAGCCTGCTTCTCCCTCTGTCTCTCCCCCTGCTCGTGCTCCCCCTCCCTCCCTCTCTTTCTCTCTCAAATAAATAAATAAAATATTTTTTAAGAAAATGGTATATGTTGGTTTTGGGATTTGATTGTAATTACCCCATTTAAAGCTAATTACTTAAGCTGTTACTGTTCCATGGCTGTTGGTAGAAGACAGTGTTCTTGGGACAGAGACAGAGCCCTAGCTATTCTGGATGGTCCAGATGTTTCTTATTTTCTCACAAAATCTATCTGGGGTAGATTTTTTTTTTAATTTTAGTTAACGCCTATTTATGTTATAAAGTCTGTACAGACTTAAGCAATTAAGTAACTCACACAAGGTTTGCCTCACTAGTAAGTGGCAGACCCAGGGTTAGAACCCAGTTTCTCTGAGCTTACTCTTTTAATCTCTATATCTGTAGTATGTAATTGTCTTAAAATCAGTTTTGTTGGGCGCCTGGGTGGCTCAGTCATTAAGCGTCTGCCTTCGGCTCAGGTCATGATCCCAGGGTCCTGGGATCGAGTCTGCATCAAGCTCTCTGCTCGGTGGGGAGCCTGCTTCTCCCTCTCCCTCTGCCTGCCACTCTGCCTACTTGTGCTCTCTCTCTCTCTGTTAAATAAATTAAAAAATCAATTTGTTGGGTGGAGAGATCTGTATATTTTTAGATCAAGATTTTTAGTTCTGTGTTCCTTGTTCTTATTAGTTTCTAGTTTGTTTCAGATATCAATTTCTGGTGGAAGTGTTAAAAATTATGATTGTGGATGTTCTCCATTTATATAATTCTGACTTTTTAATTTACATAATTCAAAGCTATATTTGGAAGCTATCGATAATTAATTATAAAATTATAAAAACAAAAATTATATAGATAATTCTGTAATTGCACATAAATATACAAAGCTATATATAATTTATATTTTCAAAGATATGTAGGTTTGTGTGAATCTTGGCAAATTGTTTTTCTTCTTTATCATGGTTTACTTACTTGGCCTTAAATAGTGTTTATGTATCGTTAATATTACTAAATGCACTGTTTTGAGAATTGCTATCTGTCTGCAGCACCTCCTTACACCCTTCTGTTTTCGGTGCCCCTAGCCGGCTTTGTCTTAGGGTTGTTTCTGGTAAGGAGCACATAGCTATGCTGTGATTTGGTTTTAATCCAGTCTGATGAGCCCCTGTCTTTCGAAAGCTTGCCCCCTGCTCTCCTGTGCCTGTAACAAATTCTAATTTATGAATACTACTTTTCCAGAGTTCTGTAGTTCAGATAATCTAGAGAGAGTCATCTGTTGAGAACATGTTTTGTATTCTGAGTGTGGTAGAAGCCCAAAATGCAATACAAACTTCTCAGAGCCAACATGGTACTGATGGAGTGAGGTTTAGGGCACAAATATGTGCATTTTAAGCTCAAGCTCTGCGTTATTGGTATTAGCCCCTTACCAGCTTTTTATCTCTAGAGCAAACTTAAAAGACTATCTTAGAAAAGCATTGTAACTTCTTGATTACTTGAATATATTCTTTGGATTGGAATAACAGGGACTAAGGGTGTAGAGTTTAATTTATAGCATAAGAAGTAGGAGATTTTTTTCTTTAAAAAGCTGTAAAATGCACAGATTGGGAATCTCTAGAAGTGACTTCTATTTTGTGGCTGTGTGGAAGACAATACAGTTAGAATCTTTTAAACTGAGAGAACCCAGTAGGTTGTTTGTTTAACTTTCTAGGGAAATGAGCATGTTTCTGTGCAGATCCCCCTTCTTGCTCAGTATCTTAGACAAGAATAAACTCCTGGGACAACTTAAAGTGCTGAGTTGTTGTCATTTGAAAAAATAGTTAAACTTTTTTGGACATACAGTGTGACAGTTATTGTTTTTTAAGTTTTTAGGGCATAATTCTTGTCCATTTTTCATTCCGATGGCAAAGTAGAGTTAGGAATGATATTATTTTATTTTATTCCAATGGCAAAAGAGTTAGGAATAATATCTTAATTCAAAGGGGAAGATGATGCAGAGCTGACTGTAAAGATTCCTCGAAGGCAAAAACTACCAAAAACTGAGATTCTGCTAAGGGAGGAATTCAAAACATGGCCAGGGTATTTTGTCTATAACGGATGAAAAAATGTGACAGACCTACTGGGGTAAGCCAGTGAGAACAAGCCTTGTAGATACGAGGCTTATCCAGACAGCTTTCTTTACACATGCAGGTAAATACTGTGTTTCTTGAGTTGATTTTTAAGAGTTATTAATAAAACTTCTTGCAGCTATAAACTAAAAAGTAATTCAAGTTAGGAAAGAAGTTAAGCTGTTGGACTTGGTGTGTTTTCCCTTTCTTTTTTGTCTCAACTTTTCCTTACTAGGTCATTTGTTGGGTGTTTTTTCCATCTAAGAAAAGTGCACTTGTAGCCTACAGAAAATACTGGAAATGCTGTTGGAGAACATAGCCGAGGCAGTGCCATCCCAGAGCAGCGGTGGGCAGTGTGTGTTGTCAGGATGCCTGCTGCCTGTCCCGTTTCCATGGTTACCATGCAGCCTGTGTTGTCAGGATGCCTGCTGCCTGTCCCGTTACCATAGTTACCATGCAGGCTCTCTTTCTGTGCAGTGCGGCTTCCTGTTGTGGTGCATGGCCCCAAGCCCTTCTAACGGGGCTGAACTGCTATACAAGCGCGTCATCCAACCTATCTTCCTGAAGCATGAGTCCCAGGTGGACACTATGGTGAATGACTTGAAGGACAAAGCCAAAGAGACTGTAGATACCATCACTAAAGAAGGTAAGACTTGGGGGCAGTTGGGTTCAGCAGGTGGGAGGAATTGGGGGTCCTGGGCCCAAATAACAAGCTGCTTCTCCTCCTCTCCTGTCAGCTTTCCTCAGCTAAATGCCAAGGCCACTGTGCGATCTCTTGACCAACACTTTGCCTGTTGCCTTTTACTTTTCCCCAGATTCTTCCACCATGCTACATTTAAGGCACTGTTTGGTCAGCATATTAGGAAAAATGACTTTCCTGTGCTGGGCAGAGATTTTAGAGAATCATCTGTATTTATATACAAGTATAATCTCTTTAATACATTTCAGGTTGAACTGTTTAATATGCTTTTGTTATAGGTCAAGAGAATGCCCTTTCCGTTCTCCTGATTCATTTATTCAGCATTTATTTATTGAGGTGCTTAATATGTGCCAAGCATGTTCGTAGCACTGAGGATGAGCCAGTGAACCAAATAGACCATACTACTTGAACTCATGAAGCTTACACTCTTGTTGAGAGATACAGTAAACTTTTTATTTATTTATTTTTTTTAGATTTTATTTATTTATTTGACAGAGAGAGAGAGAGAGACAGCAAGAGAGGGAACACAAGCCGAGGGAGAAGCAGGCTTCCTGCAGAGCAGGGAGCCCGATGTGGGACTCGATCCCAGGACTCCGGGATCATGACCTGAGCCGAAGGCAGTCGCTTAACCAACTGAGCCACCCAGGCGCCCGAGATACAGTAAACTTTTAAAGTTATATAATATAGTTAGCAGAGGATATAGAGAAAAATAAAGCAGATAGGTAGGTAGGGAGTTCTGGGGGCTGAAGGGAAGTTACTTTTAAACAGAATGATTTAGGGAATCCTCACCAAGAAGGCCATACTGGATCAAACTTGAAAGAAACCACGGGGAAGGATGGTCCAGCTAGAGCAAACTGCATGCGGGAGCAGTACCACTGGAAGGGAGTGAACCAGGCAGGAGAAGAAGGAGATAATGTCAGAGAGGTTGGGGAGCGGAGGCTGGAAGAAGACAGATCATGGAAGGCCTTATAGGCTTTTGTAGAGGCTTTGGCTTTAACTCTGTGAGATGGGGTGCTGTTGGAGAACTTTGAGCCAAGGAGCAACATGATCCATCCTGTGCTTTAACAGGATCACTTCGGCCCCTGTATTAAGAATAGACTGAAGGGGGACAGGGAGGAAATCAGGAGACCAGTGATAAGGTGCTTGCAGTGATCTGGCTGGAGAGGACCACCTGGCTTGGGTCGTAGGTGTAGCAGTAGGAGGCAGGAAGTCATTGGAGTCTTGATATATTCTGAAGGTAGAACCAAGAGGATTTGCTCAGGGATCAGGTGTGGAGTAGGAGAGAGGAGTCATGCACGAAGCCAAGCTTTTCAGCCAGAGATGGAAGGATAGAATTGCTGTTGGGAGCTGGGGGAGCCTAGATATAACAGGCTTAGAGGGGAAAACAAGGAATTCAGTTCTGGATACAAGACCAGATGAGATCACAAAGGGAGTGAATATAGTTAGAAAAGATGAGGTCCAAGACTGAGCCAGGGGATCTCCCAGACTGGGGAGATGAGAAGCAATGGACAAGGCCGACTGATAAGGAGTGGCCAGTTGTGGCAGCAGGAAAGCCATGTGACTGGTGTCTTCGGGGCCAAGAAAGTGTTTCGGGCGGGGGGGCGGGGGAGTGGTCCATTGTGTCATATGCTGCAGTCGGGTCAAGTAAAGTAGCGACGGAAAACTGGCCGTCACACTTGGCAGTGAGGAAGGCACCAGTGCTCTTGACAAAACAGTTTGTGGGGTGGTGGGACTGAAACCCTGATCGGAAGGATGTGAGAGATGGGAGGCAGTGCTGAGAGGGGATAGGTAAGTCTTTTGGGAAATTTCCTGAAAAAGGAGAAGAATGGGGCTGCAACTGGGAGGAGGGGCTAGCGTCCTGAGGGTGTATTTTTCTTCTTCTTCTTAAAGTAGAATGAACAACATATGTTTGAAAATTGGGGGAATGATCCAGTAGAGAGCAAAAAACTGACATGAATGAGGGGAGAACTACTGGAGCTCTGTCCTTGATTAGACCAGAGGAGCTAGGATCTAGAGTCCAAATAGGATTGGTCACAGGGACACAACAGTTTATGGTTTATTTTTTTTATATAAATTTTAGTTAGTTAACATAGTTAGTTAACATACAGTGCAGTATTGGTTTCTGGGTAGAATTCAGTGATTCATCGCTTACACAGAACACCCAGTGCTCGTCACAACAAATGCCCATTCCCCCCCGCCCACCTTCCTCCAGCAACCGTTTTTTCTCTGTCCTTAAGAATCTCTTATGGTTTGTTTCCCTCACTCCCTTTTTTCCTTTCCCCCTTCCCATATATTCATCTGTTTTCTTTCTTAAATTCCACATATGAGTGAGATCATATGGTGTTTGTCTTTCTCTGACTTATTTCACTTAGCATAATTCATTCCAGCTCCATCCATGTGATTGCAAATGGCAAGATTTCATTATTTTTGATAGCTGAGTGATATTCCATAATGTATACACACATGCACACCTTCGTCCATTCATCTGTTGATGGACATTTGGGCTCTCTCCATAGTTTGGCTATTGTGGACACTGCTGCTGTAAACATCGGGGTGCACGTACCCCTTCAAATCTGTGTTTTGGGATCCTAGTAGTGCAATTGCTGGATCGCTCTATTGTTACCTTTTTGAGGAACCTCCATACGGCTCTCCAGATGGCTGCACTAGTTTGCCTTCCCAGGGGCACAAGGGTTTCTAACACGAGTAGAGATGCTGGTAGGTGAGTTTATGTGATGGCGGGAGCTTACAGAAGTCACTCCCTGATTGCTCCACATTTCTCAGTAAAGTAGCAAGAAGGGTCAGCGGAGAACGGATGGGGAAGGAGGGGACAGAAAGAGATGGTATGAAATCATGGCCTAGGACTGGGGTCAGGTAACAGCTGTTCGTTTCTGTGGGCTACCAGCTCTGTCTTGCAGCTACTCACCTCTGCCACGGGAGTGTGAAAGCTGCCAGACAAGTCACAAGTGAGCAGACTGGCCAGGACGGTGGGAGAGTGGCCGGGCTGGGCCGGGTCACTCCTGGCTGCCAGGAAGTCAGAGGCTCACTGCGGATTTGTGTTCAGGAATTTAAAGTGAGGCCGGTTCATCTAGATGTTCCTTCAGCCCCACTCAGCGGCACAGGTGCAGTTGCAGAACATGTGGAGCACCGTGTCGAGAACTAGGAAGTGAGAGTGGGACTAGGGAGTGGGCAGTGTCTGACAATTGAACTTAAACAGGCCGAGGATGGGAGGGAGGACACAAAGGGGGCGAGGAACAGTGGAGAAGAGGTGGTGGGATCAATGGATTATAAAAGCAGGTGGTGGGGGAGAACTCTGAATCAGGATACCAGAGGGCGTGAGCTGCAAAGGTAGCAGGTGGTGGTGGACATTGGGATGCTTGACACTGGGATTGTAGAGGGACTGTGGTTACTGGTAGTGATAAGGATCATGGAATGAGTGGCTGGGGTAGGTAGAGAGGCTGGGATCTCTAGGATGGAATGTAAAGGTTATTGGAGGGGGGAGCCGAGAGGCCAGGATATTGGAAGAATACAGAAATCACCAATAATTAAAATAGGAGTAGTGTGAGAGAGTGATATTAAGTTTGGAGCTAAAATCTTCAAGAAATGAGGCAGCATAGCCCAAGGGTCAGAGGTGACTGGGAAAAGAAAGGCTGGTGGCAGATATAATCTGATGACATGAGGTTCTGAACATGGTGATGAGGAACAGGGACTGCTTACCAAATCCTCCAGAACCACTTGTACCAGGGTCAAGGAAGAAAGAAAAAAAAAAAAACAACCACCACCACGGGTGGGGTAACTGGGTTATGGGCATTATTAGGAGGACGCTTGATGAAATGAGCACTGGGTGTTGTAGGCAACTGATGAATCTCTAAATTCTACCTCTGAAACGAACAATACACTGTATGTTAACTTAAATTGTATTAAAAAAAACAACAAACCAGCCACCAGTTGAGAAAAGCAGTGTCCTCAGGGGACAGTCAGATTTCTGTAAAAGTAAGAAGGTAAAAGAAACATTCAGAGAGATGGATAGCTATAGAGGAGATTTTGCTGATGATTCATTGGGTCTTGAGTTCCAGAGGGCACAGGGAGGGTTTTAGAAGTTGGAGAAAAGTGGCAAGGAACATAGAATTACTGTTTTGTTTTGAGAGCTCTATATTAATTAGAAAGTGAGAGATGAGAATTGACCTGACCACGGGGCAAGCAAGACCCCCAGCACAGCTCTCCAGCAGCACAGATATGTTCTTGCTGTTTTCCCTCACACACCTTGCGCTACGCTGGACTCCTGGGCCGTGCACTCCAGTCTACTTGCATTCATTTTCCTACAATTTTAAGTGTTTTCTGACCTGTAGCCTTCATGTCCTCCCACTTGGGGATTGCCAGTTTCTTTTGAAGAAATTTCCTTTCTGAAAAGGAAAAAAAAAAAAAAATTTCCTTTCTGTTCCTCCCCTCAGCCTAACCAGCAACCTCCAGTGACGTCACTTCTGTCTAGTTCACTCACATTTCTTAGTCCCTCGGTTCTCTTCGATCTCAATACTCTAAAATCCAGTTTTACTTTGATAGGATCCATTCCTAAACAGGAGTGTAAGAATGAAAATAAATTAGGACAGACTTACATGGTGACACATTCTAGACTTTTCTCAGAACTTCTGGATTCTCCAGGAAGTAAATTTTTACAATGGGCTAGTTAAGAGAGAGGCTGCAATTTCTTAACTCTGTTCAGCGACTTTAATTAAGTGAAGTGAGAACAGCCCTCAGGCAGTTGGTGAACAAGGTAGGACTGGCGTCGCTGGACTCCAGGCCCGTCAAAGACAGGTGCCATTTATGGATTCTCCAGGAGGCCCTGGAGGCTTCCAGAACACCCCCGCCCCCCATCGTACACACCACACTAGTTCTTACAGCTTGTTCCAAGTCACATGGTAATTAGGAAGAGGAAAGTTTAGTTTCCCACAGATGTAAGAATATTTTCTTGATGAATGTAGCATCTTGCCACCAACGTACAGCAAATTCTTGCCATCATAGGGGGAAATGGCGGCACAGTGAAGAGAATATAAATGTGTATAAATAGTGCATCGTTTCTGGGTTGTGGGAATGAGGACTTTCTCTGATTTTTTGTCACCATGGGATAGACGACCTAGTTGTCATCAGATTGAGACATAGATTATACAGGTGAGCACCCAGACGCAAACGAGAATTTCTTGATTGTACAGAGAGACACTGGACGTGTCAGGAATCTCTGCTTCTTGTGCCCTTTGGGGGTGTGGGTCGGGGACAGATGGCTTAGATGACACTGCTACTGTAAGGGGCTAGGCCAGCTGACCTTGAAGAACTTTGCTGGAGTACTCCAGATTTGGGCTCTGAAGAGGTGTCTTCGTCTCCTGGAAACTCTTAGCCCGGCCGCAAACCTCAGTGCTCTCGTCTGAACAGGAGTCATCCAAGTTGCTGTCTAGTCACTACATTAGGCACAGAGCCTGCATTGCAAGTTGCCTTGACACAATATTCTTTCCTCCTCACAGCCAAGAAAGCAGCAGTGAATTTACTCGGTGAAGAAAAGAAGAGCACCTAAACCACTGACTGGATGAAACCTTTCTGCCCTCACTGTACCTTCCTATTAGCGCTTGGTATTATATTAGGGACTGTGGTATAATCATTTTAATAACGTTGCCTTGGAAACACTTTTGATATATTAAAAAGAGGAATGTGTTTTTTTTTTGTTTTGTTTGTTGCTTACTTTTATTGTCTATATACATAGGGAGCACTTAAATTTAATGCAATGGGCAATGTCCAAATTTTTGGAAAATATATTTTGCCTCTGGGTGGGAAAAGATGTTACCATCCTGCAGGAAATGCAAACTTGAAATTATATATCCCATAGGCTTTGTACTTCAGCAGGCTCTCTCTGCATGCATTTTCTCTGTACTTACATTTTAAGATAATCTTTAAGGTTCTACTTCATGTAATGTACAATTTTGTATTAAATGTTTTTAAGATATTTGTGCATACATATATGTAGGGAAATGTTACTGACTGTGACATGTATAATGCTCATAGGGAGCACCTGCCAAAAGCTAAAGGTTTCAGTGTGCTGGTGTGATCTGTTAAGTAAGGCTTCAGAAAATTAATGCTGATATTTCCAATGAATAGTTAAGTGATCAGTGAGGTTGAATGGGGGCTGGCCTGGTTGTTCTAACACTGCAGCAGCTGAATACCAGAATAGCTCTGTAAAGCAGTCATGTTAGTGATAAATGGGGAAAGGTACCCACACACCAGTAATACACAGCTCCCAAATCCCTGTAGAACCAGTAATACTGTCTTGTGGCCTTTTAAAAAAATTGTTTATAAGGTTTAGATTTGTCTGTTTTTAAGATGCTATAATGGAAACCATTTCTCCTTCAGAGCTGAGTAACATGTTGGTTTAGTCTTGTTTTTTACCTAGTCTTTTTTTTTTTAACCAGTTTAAGGAATCTCTAGACTTGCCCATCTTTGATTACATGTATGTTCTCGTTTGTATCATTAGCAGTTACATGCTAATGATGACACCAGGCTCTAAGAGCAATTCTGGGAGAATGAAGGATGATATAACCTATTATCTGGTTGGCAGTGAAATCAAACTGCCTTCACCTTCTTTCTCTGTCAAACACAAGAGGCCTCCCCAGTTTACAAGTCAGAATCATTTGTGGTCCATTTAAATGCCTTCATCTTTATATTTCATTTTGATAAACTGCAGATAACTACATAGTTTAAGTACAGAACAAAAAGTTAAAATTAAGGTTTCCAGCTTGATTAGCCTGCTTAAAGGAAGCTCGACAACTCGTCTGAACGAGAAAACCCAAGCTTCACACCAACCCTACTGCTAGGATCCTTCCGAATTAGATTACACTGACTAAAACAAAACTGAGTGTAACAAAATGAAAACAAGTTTAAATATCCGGCCTGTAAAATACCTGTTAAGGGAGAAAGAGAGGATTAGTGTCTTTTGGATAACAGTTAAGACCATAATGAAATCTCATGACGTAAAAAATATCAAAGATATCCAGAATTAGGGACACTATCACCTAAATATTATAATATTTATTTTTTCCTGGTGAAACCGTGGTAATCATAAGGCATCTTATTAAACTTCAAGAAAAGAAAAACTTTTAGAAAACAAGCAATTAATGGTTATTGGGAGTAAAATCAAGCCTTAGATTTAAAAAAAAAAAAAAGTACCTCTAGGAGTATTTAAATCTGTTTCCCCATAGTAAATTACACTTTTCTTGGTGGCAGAAGAATGAAAATCAGCAACTTCTGTCATACAGAATATATAAAATCAGATTGTTAGTATAGAGAATATATAACTTTCAGTATACAAAATATCAGGCAAGATGGGGAAACATAAATGCTACTATTGCTCATAACGACTTACAGGCTGATATCAGTTTAAAAACTACTATAGTAAGAAAATATATTCTGAATGCAATTTTTTTTTGTCCTTTTAGCTTTTTCCTGTAGTGCATTCTGTAAGAAATGTAAGTTACTATTTTGGCAGTCAAAGTGTACATGTTAATGACAGGAGAAGTTAATGAGTGAGTTGAGCAATTCTGTCTCAGTTTAGATTTCCCAAAGAACATATTGCCACGGCTAGAGTATTTGGAAAACTAATTGAGCCAGTATCTAGCTAGAAGACAAGCATTTATTTGTATATGAATGGTGATTTAGGGGTAAGTAAAGTCAAAGAATCTCCACATTTCTCCCCCTACTTGAAAGCTTTCAGACCAATAGTTACTGCTACTCTGAGAGGCTTCTATCCACAGCCTGAAGAGAATGAGCATAGCTCTTAAATAGGTCACCGCCCATCCTGAAGATGTGATATATTAACATGGAAATGGATGTAAATAAAATTCTGTTATCCCATTACACTGTTGTTTCATTTTATTTTGGGGGGCTTTAAACAAATCTAGAATCATTTAAGTGAAGTCTGAAGTAAATCCAGATAAATGAACCTGAAACACTGCTTTTTATAGCCCCATTCCTCACCTGGCCTGAGGCTTTCCCCTGGTGACCACGACCTGTCAGAGGAAGACCCCCGAAGGAGAACATACCAGTGGTGAAAAGTTTCTAGCAATAATTAGGTTTAAAGGAAACCTCAACTGCTTTCTACCGCCTATCATGTTACACAGTCTCAGAGAATTTGATTGCCTCTAAGTATATTTTGACATAGTAAACACTTGTATGTGCCTCCAAATTACTCCGTACTTTAAAGAGACCAAGGAAGAACTTGAGAATTTTATTAAAAATATCTGCTTCTGGAGGGTGTGTTTTGGTCAGCTGTGTTTTCTACATCTGCTTTTATATGTCTGTCTACCTAGAATCATGGTGTCTGGAGTAAGAGTTCACATCCTTACCCATCAGATACTAAGTTCTATGTAGTGCGGTAGGAAAGTAAATATATTTGAGAATGACCTTAATTAAATGTTTTCTGGCTCTTTACTACAATATTAGCTTATAAAATCTATAACATAAACATAGAGGATTAAGAGCAATAAGGAGATTCTTTGGTTAGATCACTGGTTTTCAAACTTAAGTGTGTATTGGATTTTCTCTTGGGGGGAGGGGACTGTTAAAACAGATTGCTAGTCTCATCCCCCAGAGTGTCTGATTCAGCAGGTCCAGGGTGGGACTGAAAAATCTGCATTTCCAGTAAATTCCTGGGTGATGCTGATGGTCCAGGATCCACACTTTGAGGTAAAACTATTGGGTTAGGTAAATGCTATCTTTACACTTAGTATACAGTGGATTTTAGATCTGGCTGCATATTACAATTACCTGAGAAGCTTTCCCAAAAATGCTGGTATCTGCCTCCACTACCAGAAATTCTGACATTAATCTACTGTGATACCCAGGCACCAGTATGCTTTTAAAACTCTAGGGTGATTCTGGGGCGCCTGCGTGGCTCAGTTGGTTAAGCGGCTGCCTTCAGCTCAGGTCATGATCCCAAGGGTCCTGGGATCGAGCCCCGCATCAGGTTCCCTGCTCCGCGGGAAGCCTGCTTCTCCCTCTCCCACTCCCCCTGCTTGTGTTCCCTCTCTCGCTGTCTCTCTGTCAGATAAATAAATAAAATCTTAAAAAAAAAAAAACCAACTCTAGGGTGATTCTAATATGTATCTAGGGTTGAGAAATAGAAACTAGTGAGGTCAAGAATCCCGAAGTCTGGAGAGAGTTTGTCTTAGCTCATTAGTTCACCAGGTGTGCGTTCCCTAATGCCGCAGTAACACCTTGCCACAAATGTAGTGGCTCAAACAGTATAAATTGAGTAGCTTACAGTTCTGGAGATAGACATCCCAAATGGGCGTGCAGAGCTGCATTCCTCCTGGAGACCGTAGGGGAGAATCCTTTTCCTTACTTCTTTCAGCTGGAAGCCACTTGCATTCATTGGTCTGTGGCCCTTTAGTCCTCCAACTTCGCTTCCTTTTCAGAAGGATCCTTTTGATGACATTGGGTCCACCTGGATAATCCAGGCTACTCTCTCCAGCTGAAGATACTTAATCACATCTGCAAGGCCTTTTGCCATGTAAGGTAATATTCACAAGGGTTTTTTTGGGCGGGGGGCACAATATTATGTTACCACACCTCATCTCTTTGGTATAGAAATTTCGTTATAAAGTCACCCCCAATATCAAAATAACTGCAAAGAGCAATCTTAATGTTGGGAGGGAACTAAAAAGAAGGAATGGTGAAAAAATACCTTATCTTCTTCCAAATGAAAGACTGGCAGTTTGTCCTTCAGAGATAAGATCTTTAGAGCGGGGAGGACACAGGTAGAGTTGAGGGAGGGAAGTTGTATTAAAAACAGGACTGAGGGGCGCCTGCGTGGCTCAGTCAGTTAAGTGTCTGTCTGCCTTCAGCTCAGGTTGTGATTCCAGGGTCCTGGGATCGAGTTCCCCATCGGGCTCCTTGCTCAGCGGAGAGCCTGCTTCTCCCTCTCTCTTTCCGCTCATGTGTTCTCTCGCTATCTCTGTCTCTCTCTCTCAAATAAATAAAATCTTTTTTTTTTTAAAATAAAATCTTTAAAAATAAAAAAGCAAACAAAACAGGATTGAATGACTCAACGCTGAGACCCATTTCTCTCATGCCACCTTCCCCCCCTGGGCTCCTAGACCTTTATCCTCCTGGAATCTTGTTGAACTCCTCTCTAGGGAACAGATCAGGCTAAAACATTTCTGATCTTGGAAATCTCCCCTAAAAGGATATTTGAGCCAGATATCCCTTTAGTGAAATAGTCTGCAAGCCCTTCTTAAGTGCCTAGAACTTCCAATCAACTGTTTTGGGTTTTTTTACTCTTAAAAAGCCATCAATCTAAGGAAAGCCACTTAACATATCAGGGATCAAAATAAAAACAAACAAACCAAAAAGGAAATTGGAAGCAAAAAAAATACAAACCATATCCCCTGAGAAATAAGAATGACCCTTATGAATTAAGAACAGAATGCAGGGTGCCTGGGTGGCTCAGTCGGTTGAGTGTCTCTTGGTTTTGACTCAGGTCATGATCTCAGGGTTGTGGGATTGAGCCCCGTGTTGGCTCTGTGCTCATGTGTGGAGTCGGCTTGAGAGATTCTGTCTCCCTCCACTTCGGCTTCCCCCCCAGCTCGTGTTCTCTCTCAAATACATAAATAAAAATCTTAAAAAAAAAAAAGAATGGTAGAAAAAGGAAATATTCAGATGACAAGAGAGCTTGGAGAAGTTGAATATACAAGAAAAATGAAAAGTTCAACAGAGGGGTTGGAAGACAGAGCTAAGGAATTCGAAATAGAACATAAAGGCAAAGAAACAGAAATAAGAGGAAAAGAAGACGAGAAAACTTGAGAACCAGTCCAGCACATCCAATATCCAAATAAGGAGTTCCAAGATCAGAAAGGGTAGAAAAACCATCGATGAAATTTTCAAGAAAATTCCCAGAAGAACACAAGTTTCCAAATTGAAAGGGCCCATTAGGTACCCAGCACAATAGACAAAAAAGGGCCCACACACAGCACACTATTGTGATATTTTAGAATTCTGAGATGTGGTGAGTTTCAA